ATTTTAGCGACCTCGGAAGGATGCAAGCCTGAGTCGAGCCTGAGCCCTTGGCTGACATTGAACTCACAACCTTGTGGTTTATGAGTGAGTGGTTGCAGTACAGGCATAACCACCACGCCACCAGTGGTAAATACCATTTACTTTTATTTGCATTATTTTGCAAGCTAGTTTTGAGGAACAGAACTGAGTTGTTGTTTTTTACTCTTAACCTCCATACTGCAAGATTTAACTTTTGTGCATAAAAAGAACATTTGTTGTGGCTCTAGTAGCTCAGTGTGTGGATGGACCAAATGTTTCCAAAATAACCATATTTTTTTCTTCTGTAAAGCGAGCCAGTGTGGCATAATGGTTTGAGTGTTGAACTATGACTCTAGAGGCCAGGGTTCAATTCCCAGCTTGGTCATGAAACCCACTGGGTGACCTTGGGCAAGTTATATTCTCTCAGCCTCAGAGGAAGGCAATGGCGAACCCCCTTTGAACAAATCTCTTGCCAAGAAAACCTCATGATAGGTTTACCTTAGGGTCGCCACAAGTCAAACAACTTGAAGGCACAGAACAACAAAGGTGGAGTACCACTAAGGACTTACCCTGCATGCCACACAGCAAGACTGGAATGTATTAATACCTAAAAGTCAACTTTTAAAGCAGGAAAGCTTTTTTGGGGGGGGGGGGTTCAGAGACACCCTCTCACCACTGACTCTTATGCAGGCCAGATCATATATATCCCTTCTGGAAGATGCTATTCTGGGGAAGGTTGATCTAGCAGTAACCACTTTTGCTTAGTGTTCCCCAAATGATGATTCAAGCGTCCTTTTACACACACACACAGGCACTTTGTACTGACTCTTGCGGCTCTCTACAATTCTAGTCTTCTTTTGAAAGAACTTAAAACAATGCAGCACTCAGAAAATATGGATTATCTGTTCTATTTACAGATGCTCGGAGAATGCTATTTTAGCTTCTGGCATGCTCTACGCAGCACAGAGAGTGAGAAGAATTAATGCTACAACTTTTAAAAGATCTAATGCCACACTCCTGCAATACTGTGCAACTGTATGATTCCTTCTTTCTACCTGCTTGCACATATTGGAAAGTTAGAGCCCTATTATACCAAGAAACTTGAAATGATATAAAGGGGTGAATATCAGCTGATATATTCTTACATGTAATTCCTTCCACCTCTGAAACTATCCTCCCCTCATAAAACAACAGCATACACATTGGAAGTATTCATACTTTACACTCAACCAGTAGTGAGGCAATCCAGATGTCACTGAACTGTAATTCACACCATCTCTCACCACTGGCTATGCTTGGCTGGTACTGATGGCACTGCAGTCCAGCATTATGTAGAGCATTATCTGTTACCCATGCTAGCACTAGACAGTGGTTTAATGTGATGTGTAGGAGCGAGCTAGTGAGCCTCATACTTGTATATTCATCTCCACATGGCTTGGAGAATGAGCACTGGAGCATGGTTTGACATGGGAAACCTTTGCTTCCCTTTTCAGTGAATCACAACTTCTTGTGTCATCTTTACCTGGGACTATAAGTAATATGACTATGGCTACTTTCAACAAAGCAGCTTCAGAAAACAGTTTGAAGTTGGCTTGTTTGAAACAAACAATTTTAAAGCACAATTTATCAATCTGGTTGACACATCAAACTCCAGTTAAGAGATAGCAACATGTCCAAACTACTATTCTTGGCTGTACAGGAAGGGTATGTATGCTGTAGTTCATTCCTGTTTCTGTACATCGCACTAATGCATGGCTATGCGAGAAGTGTATGTGCAGCCACTGTTTTGTTTCAGTAGCAACTCACTTAAATACATTGCATCTGTTTATTCAGCATAGAACCTAGTTAACCACAACTCTTCACACCAGGGCACAGGCTGGCTCAGGTTTTGCTACAAGAGAGGTTAATATTATGAATAGAGAAAACCTTGCCGTTACAGACACAAGGGATGAGATGACAGCAGCTTTGATGCTCACTCTTGCACATGCTGAACATCTCAAGTGCTTCAGCATAGACAGAATTTGTAGACAATGTACCTCTTTAAAGTACAAAGATATTTAGATTTAGAATGTCAGGAACTGGTGACACACATGTGCAAAAGGAGGATTATTATTTAACAGCAGGCACCCTAAGTAAGATGCCACACTTATTAACACATTTAGATTAGAACTTGTGCAGTCATTTGGTCTCATATTCTGTGTTCAGGTCATTGCCTTACACCTTGCTTGATTAGTGCCTGAGTTGATGAGTTTAGAAGGACAACAATGTGCAAACTTTGTTTCCATAGCGACCACTAAACTGCTAACCTAAAGACTGAAAGGGCTTCCCTTCTTGAACTTCCTCACTCAGACTGGATTCAGTTCTTCAGCTCACCCAGTTTGAGCTTGGCAAAGTCTGTGGCCACCTTCAGGGCGTCCATGAGGCAGTCAGTGTTTTTGCCTGTTGCCTGGGCTGAGAGGTCTTTTCCACCCCCCTTGCCATCCATCAGACCAGACACCTGCTGAACCCATTCACTAGCCTTTAGACCTTTGCTGACAACATCCTGAAAAAGATGGGAAAAACAGCATTTTAGACAATGGGCCTAAAACAGCCTAAGGCAGGAAGCCAAAAACTTGGTGTATGGGCAGCATTTCTAACAAAAAAACAAAACAAAACAAAAAAACAACTGGAGTGTAGGGAGGATATGGTGAGGGCAGTCCTCTGGGATCCTACAGGAGTCAATACATCTCTCCAACTACTGGCGGCTACCCACCCATTTTTAAGTGTCACTTTTTTCAATACCACACTGCAAAATATTAGTGGCAAACTGAGCAGGTTTGCATGGAGGGAAGCAGTGAGCTGGGTAGGGCACTGCATGAGGACTTTGCAACATCCACCCCATTCTATATATATTTACAAAGGTAATGATTTCAAGCTCCAACCACTATGCTTTTACATCTACAGTCCCAGGCACAATGTGGGGTCTACTTCTCCACTTACCCAAATTATTTCATGACCACTGGTGCCCCATGGATTAGCCAGTGCTAAAATCTCATCCTATGAATATTTAGATTTACCTGTGGAACCTGGCATAAACAGGTGATTTTGCCAACTTCATTATCCACTGTGAAAAGCATGGCTGCTGTCTCAGGTGAGTGAGTCTTCAAGAGCTTCAAGGATTCGTTCAGTGCCTACAAAATGGCATGTGTAAGGTTCAGAGAAAGCACAGGTCAGGTTTGCTCCTTGCTATGTGATCAAGAACTGATCTGCTATCAGAGTCCAAATGAGACATTGGGAAGGCTGAGTTCTCTCCTGTGGGTTAGCAGCTCGGATATAGTCTGCCATGGATGCTATTTCAAGCATTCCTTATCTCTACAATTCTTATTTGTATTATTATTCACTTCATATATCGTATTGGAAGTTCCAGGTTCAATCCATGGCAAATAGAATCAGCTAGCAAGTATTCCCATAATTTTCCTAATGTCTCTATGGCACCCGCAATGGGACAATCAGAACAATACTGCCAACATAAAACAAATCTGGTCTAGATGAACAAATTATCTAAATCACTGTAAAGTTCTACCCACTCCAGATGTTGCTGGGCTGCTATTCCTATCAACCCTAGCCTGCACAGTCAGGGGTATTTGTCTTCAATGGTCTACATGGCTACCATGGACCAGTGAAGTATGTCACCATAGCTGATTCTCCATAAGCACAAGGACATGTCCAGCTGAGAGGGGTCTCTGCCACTTTATATGATATTTTTTGAAGAGATCTGCTGCAACATGGGATCTGCTCCCATGTGTTTCTTAGATTGTGAAGATAGGATTGTGAACTGCAGAGAAACTGGACTCTGTGAAAACTGTTAAAGAAAAGCTGCTGTTGATGATTTTATTACAGCCTTTCCCCCAGCCCTGAAATTCAAGGCAGCCTGTATTCTTACCTCTCTTGGTCCATGCAATATTTGTGCTGGGACTGCTGCACATAGGACACTATAGAGGTTCACTCTAGAGTTTAGAAACACTACTTTGTGGAATCACATCTCCCATAATCCCTCAGTGGCCATGCAGGCTGGGGGAGGGAGTTCTGTGAGTTGTTATCCAAAAATGTAACTTTTTCCACATGTGAGTGTGCCTTCACCCATGGAACACATCTGCTTTATTAAAATAATTGGTGTCTGTGGAGGGATGTTACTACATTCAGGTGAATTACCTTTGCAGAAGCTCCACTCTCCATTTCCATAATGACCAGTGGCTGGTTAGGATGAGCCTCAATAAGCTGTCTTGTCTTGTCAAGAACCTATGGGAACAGTCAAAGAAGAGGCCATTTGGTCCATTAATTACCATGAAAATGCCAGTGACAGAAAAAAAAACATACAACAGATGCATAGAAGCATTTTTAATATTACATTCTAACTTCTAGCCGCATACAGTTAACAGAGTACAAAACAGACAGTGCATTTGGGACAAAGAAGTTGTACACATTGGGGCCAGTGGGGTGATTTATGTACAGCATTTTTGATAGAGGTATGCAAGTATGGAAGGCTAGGGAGGCAGTATAGCCCCCAGGGGACCTCGGAAGGCTGCATGCCCATAAAAAAATTAAAAATAACATAAAACTATAATTTAAAATAATTTTTGTTTGCTCCCAAATGTCATATAGAATTTTCACCATTTTAAGCCCTCACAAAACATTTTATGCCTAGGATGGTAGAAATTGAGTAAGTCATTAGCTGTTCATTTCCTGGTTTGTTTATAAAGAGGCTTGTCCTGGGCATGTATTAGTCATAAATGTTGCGAAAATGCTCCCAAAAAGGTGTTTTCTTATCCCTGGGGTGCTCTAGGGACCACAGAAACAGCCCAAAGTTCACACTTTGCCCATCCTGCCTTTGGCAAAGATTGGCCCATAGATTGGCTTCTAAAAACCAAAGGCAAACACAGTGCTATGCAAGTGTATGTAAGCAATCCACTCTGGTAACAACCAGAGTTCTATTTCCAAGACCTTTCTTCCTGAGGGAATGCTAAAACAAGTTACAGGAGATGCAAACCCCAGCATCTGATGGCACTAGCCACGTGGTAAAAGAGAGAGTTACCGCTCCACTGAAAATGGAGGCATGGCCTTTCTTGTTCACCATTAGCACACATTTCAAAGGGAAATACCACAGTGTATACAGATGAACCCTTGCATACAATAATAGAGGGTGGATAAAGGAGATAAGGGGAAGTGCTCACTCGTTTCTGGATGTCAGCCTTGTAGGCACGATCTAGATCATCCATAATCTTCTTTAGTGCTTTGAGGGACTCTCTGAGTTCATCTTTCTGCCACTGAGGAATGACAGCAGTGGCTAGGGTCTGTAGATGGAAGAATTTCAAGTCACAACAGCCCAACTTTAACAGAGAAACCCCA